CAAATACCGTATGTTTTTTTCCCTGATCTATGATAACTTACAGAGCACCTAAAATAAAACCTATAGAAGTGAAATTGACACCATGAGAAGCAATGACTTGAACAGCCCTTGTCTTAACTGTCAAGGAACAGTTTTTTTGTTTCATTTTTTTGTTTTTCCTTCTTAATGCCATTGGTTGAATTCTTCACTTAACAGAGAATTAATCATATGTATATAAAGTCAATTGAAAATAGATCCCAGTAAAGAATAAGAGTAGGAATAAGAGAGGGAGGAGCTGTATAGTTCTGCATACATTCCTACGTATGTACTTCTATGGGTGGGTTGGGAATGGGGGAGAGGGCAATTATGGGGGGAACAGCTACTATATTCCTAAAATTGTACTTGAGAAATTTGTACTCATTAAATAGAAAGTTTCTTTGGAAAAAAAAAAAAAAAAAAACAGAGACATCACAATACCAGATTTCAAGACATACTACAGGGCAGTTATAATCAAAACAGCCTAGTACTAGCAAAAGAAAAAAAAAAAAAAAAAACGGACTCACAGACTAATGGAATAGAATAGAAACTCTAGAAATCAGTCCACACATCTACAACCAACTTATCTTTGACAAAGGAGCTAAAATTAATTCCTAAAACAAGGACAGTCTTTTTAACAAGCAGTGCTGAGAAAACTGGATCTCCATGTGCAGAGGTAAGAAACAAGATCTCTACCTTACACCTTACACAGAAACACACTCAAAATAGACCAAAGACCTAAATCTATGACTCGATACTATCAAATTACTAGAGAACATTGGAGAAACTCTGTAAGACACTGGCACAGGCAAAGACTTTTTGGAAAAGACTCCAGAAGCATAGGCAATCAAAGCCAAAATTTACAAATGGGATTACATCAAGTTGAGAAGCTTCTGCACCACAAAAGAAACACCCAGCAAAGTGAAGAGGCAACTGACAGAATAAGAGAAAACATTTACAAACTATGCAAATGATAAAGAATTAGTATCCAGAATCTATAAACAGCTCAACAAAGTCAACAACAAAACAATCAGTTGAGAAATGGGCAAAGGACTTAAACAGGCAAAATTTTTCAAGGGAGGAAATTCAAATAGCCAATATTCACAAGAAAAAATGCTCAAGATCACTAGTCAGCAAGGAAATGCAAATCAAAACTACAATGAGGTTTCACATTACCCCAGTTAGAATGGCTGTCACACAGAAATCAACAAACAATAAATGCTGGCGAGGATAGGCAAAAAGGTACCCTAATCCACTGCTGGTAGGAATGTAAACTGGCACAGCCAATGTGGAAGACCGTATGGACTGATAGAGTTTTTGGTCACAAAAGGCTTCCATAGCATTAGCAGTTCATGGCAAGAGCCTCAGGTGATAATTGACATCATCAACAAGAGTGTTAATTGTTAAATTAACAACAGAAGTCACTGTACACTTACTACCCATTTAGGACCTCTGTCCTTAATGAGTTGTACTATGAGAATTAACTGTAAAACTTGTTATCAAACAGTATTTTATACATTGTGTGTGTGTATGTGTGTGTGTGTGTGTGTGTGGGTGGGTGGGTGTGTGGGTGCAAACTGACGAAATCTTTGCTAGTACAGAGTTGGTTTTCTGTATATAAAGTTAATTAAAAATGAATCTTAATGAAGAATGGGATGGGAGAGGGAGTAGGAGGTAGGGCAGGAGATGGGGTGAGAGGGTGGGTATAGGGGGAAGAACCACTATATTCCTAAAGTTGCACCTATGAAATTTGCATTCATTAAATAAAAACTTAAAAAAAAAAAAAACAACAAAGACAGTATGGAGATACCTCAAAAAGCTGAAAACAGATCTACCATATGACCTAGCCATCCCACTCCTGGAAATTAACCCAAGGGAAATGAAATCGGTGTATGAAACAGTTATCTGTACCCCCACGTTTATCACAGCTCCATTCACTATACCTAAGATAGATATTCATCAACTGGTGACTGGATAAAGAAATTATAGTACACATATACTATGGAGTACTACTCAGCTGTAAAAAAAAAATCAAGAAAATCGTCCGCAAGAAAGAAAGAAAAAGAAAAAAAAAGAAATCCTGTCGTTTGCAACATAATGACTGCAACTGGAAACTACTATACTTACTGAAATAAGCCAGTTCCCAAAAGACAGATATTATATGTTTTCCCTGATCTGTGGTAACTAATAGAGTACCTAAAATGTAATGTATTAGAGTAAAGTGGACATTTTGAGATTCAATGATGGTTTACAGCCCTTGTCTCAACTGTTGAAGAACACTGGTTTTTTTCTTCATACTATTTGTTGAATTCTTTACTTATTATAGGGTTAATCTTATTAGTATAAAGTAAACTGAAAATATATCTTCATAAAAATTAAGAGTGGTAATACAAGAGGGGAGAGGAAGAAAGATGGGAGTGTGGGCAGGAGGTAGGGTAGGGTGGGAAGTAATACTATGTTTCTAAATCTGTATATATGAAATACATGAAATTTGTATACTTTAAATAAAATTTTTAAAAAAATAAAATAACCATGTTCACCCCCCCAAAGAAAAACAGACAAAGAAGTTTGCCACCTATGTACATAAACAGGTGGATATAGATATGTACTCTAAACCAAATAAATAGATGTTATAAATTAAAAAAAAAAAAAAAAACACTTTCTGAACAAGGCTTTCCATAACGTTTTAAGGGTCTTCAAAAAAAAAAAAAATACAGCAGATGAACTGGAGGCAAGAAATATCCCCAGAAAGGCTACAAAGACACATATGGGGACCATGAAAAACGGCAGGGACGGTACCTGAAATAAGCATCAGAAGATACTTTGCCCAGAACAATTAATGTATAGGGGCTACAACAAATAGGCAGGAAAGGTGGCAGAGTCCAGGTTACCTATAATTTATTATTTGGTATTATTTGTGTTCAGCTGAGAGTGGCAAGATGAAAACAGTGGTACTTAGATTAGCAGAAGTGGAGAAAGCATTTTAGAAAGCTGCCATCAGACATAATGGGACAACAGCCTGAACCAGAGTTCATATAAAAGAGGATGTGGAAAAGTAGATCAAAATACAAGAAGATGGGTTGAACTTAAAAACAAAGAAAGGAGAATCAATAAACACAAGACCAGAATGACAGTAGAAACACAAATAATAAAGTAGAATTGGAATACTGTCTGAAAAGTGAGGTATTTAATCAAGAATTTATCTTTACAAGGACCAGTGTTGTGGTGCAGTGAATTAAGCTGCAACACCAGCATCCTGAAACATGATAAAAGTCCCAGCTGCTCTGCTTCCCACTGAACTCCTTGCTAAAGTGCCTGGGAAAGCAGCAGATGACCCATGTACTTGGTCCCTGCCATACGCGTGGAAGACCCAGATGGAGCTCTGTGCTCCTGGCTTTGATGTGGACCAGCCCTAGCCATTGTGGCTATTTATGAAAGTGAACAAGCAAATTTGTTTGACTTACATCTCTTTCTTCACCCTCTCTTCTCTCTCTTCCTATCACTCTGCCTTTCAAGCAATAAACTCCATTTTTAAAAAAATATTTACAAGGCTGGCACTAAGGCATGGTAAGTTAAACCTTCACCTACAGCACTAAAATTCCATGTGGGCGCCGGTTCATGTCCCCAGCTGCTTCTCTTCCAATCCAGCTTTCTGCTTATGGCCTAGGAAAGCAGTGAAAGATGACCCACATGCTTGGGGCCCTGCGTCCATGTAGGAGACCTGGAAGAAGCTCCTGGCTCCTAGCTCCTGGATCCTGGCTTCAGATTCGCCCAGCTCAAGCATTTCAGTCATTTGGAGAGTGAACCAGTTGATGGAAGACCTCTCTGTCTCCCTCTCTCTGTAGATCTGCTTCTCAAATAAATCTTCTTTAAAAAATTTACATTTTTATGAATATAAATTTCAGGAGGTCTGAATAAGCATTTTTCTGAACTTCTGCCTGCCATAGACAAACCGTAATGTAAGTGGAAAAATGAACAAATGATAAATAAAAACAGGTCCTTTACAAATCTGACCCTATGGGAGCTGGCACTGTAGCACAGTGGGTAAAACCACTTTTGCAACACTGGGATACCACATGGGTGTCAGTTCATGTCCTGACTGCTCCACTTCCAATCCAGTTCCCCTCCTAATGGCCTGGGAAAAGCAGCAGAAATGGTCCAAGTGTTTGGACCCCTGCCACCCAAGTGGGAGCCCAGATGAAGCTCCTGGCTCCTGGCTTCAGCCTGCTGTCCCACCCTGGCCATTGCAGCCATCTGGGGAGTAGACCAAGGAATGGAAGATCTCTCTCTTTCTCTCTAACTCTCTCCCTGTCTCTGTTTCTTCCTCCAACTCCTTCTAAATAAATAAATAAATTTTTAAAAAAATTACCAAACCCTGCAAATCTCAAAATATTTTGTGAATACATGTCCAATGTAGAATTCAGTTATTAAAATTTAAGAATTCAAATTATATGGACTTGGAGAAGGCATTTGGTACAGAAGCTTAAATCAAAACTTGTGACACCAACATTCCGTATCAGAGTGCCTAGTTTGTATCCCAGTAATTCTACTTCTAAAAGAGATTCCTACTAACATGCACCTTGGGAGACAGCACATGATGGCCCAAGTACATGAGTCCCAGTGTTGGGGAAGCAGATCAAGTTCTGGGCTTTTCGTTCTGGCCTGGCCCAACTCCAGCTATTGCAGGCATTTGGAAAGTGAACCAACAGATGGAAGATCCCCTCTGCCTGTCCCTTTTCCCTTCTGTTTCACTGCCTTCATATACAACAAAATTCTTAAATTATATGAAATTTAAACATTAAATTATAAGCCATTTATAAGCAATCATTAAGATTAAACTTTTACAGTTACATCAAAGCTGAGCCTGGAAGTTGAAGTGATGAGCTTTCTTTAGAAATGTGAAAAATAGAAACCTATTTCCAAATCCAAATCATAAGACTTTCTGTGAAATTACAATCCATTTTAATAATGTACAAAATGCATACCTTTAGTGTTCCATCAGCTGAACAACTAGACAAAAGTTTATCATCTGGTGAAAATCTGCAATGATTGACTGAATTTGTATGACCAAACATCGTATTTCGGCATACGTTTTGATTCAAATCCCAGAGCTACTTGAGAAAGATAAAAAGATTAAAAAATAATTAGTACTGAGCAGGAAAAAGTTACAAATCATATACAGTTCTTCCTTCCCTCCCATTGAAATTTTGGTTGTAAGACATGGTTCAATTCACAGTAACACAAAGGTGTCAAACACAAAGATAAATTTGTGACTAACAAGTAAACTGGGCAGCCTTTAGATCAGCATCTAAATCTACTATGGAACTCAAAGGTTCACCTAGACTTTGGACAGTGCCCTAAGTAACTAACAAAACAATTACTGTTTTTAAAAAATGTTCATTTTTTTCACTTATTTGAAAGGCAAAGAGAAAAAGAGGGGGCTTCAATTCCTAAGTGCCCACAACAGTGAAGCAGGGCAGGCCAAAGCTAGGAGCATGCCTCCATGTGGGTGACAGAGACTCGAGTACTTGAGCCATTACCTGCACCTCCCAGGATGTGCATTAGCAGGAAGCTGGAGTTGAGTGCAGATCTGGGACTCAAACCCAAGCACATCAACATGGGATACAGGCATCCCAAGCAGTGTCAACTGCTGCAACAGAAGTCCACCCCAGTGACTGATGATTTTAACTAAGTGGTTTAGAAGCACTGTTATTTTACTCAGTTATAATGAATTACAGTAGGTAATATGTAAGTTGCTAGGTTATACAACTCTAAAAACGGTCACTTATAAAATTCCTTAATGCAAACCTTGAATCATCTAACCAATCTCAAAGCTATTACTATTCTAAAAAAATTATTCAAAAAATCCAAAGATAGCCATTAGGTATAAATACATTGGACAGGAAATATAAGGGGTTAGAAGGGTATGTCAAACAAAATCTCCAGGAAGTAATTACCCAACTCCACAATGTGGCACATTCTGTGGGACAAATGACTCAATTTTTCTAACAAACGGTACAAAAAAGAGTATAAAGGGAAAGGGAACTTTTACAGAATAAGAGTTTAGAGATATAACAACCAAATGTCATATGATATGATTGGATTTTGATTCCAATAAACCTATGACCAAAAAACATGTTTTTAACACTATGGGGGAAGTGAACATGGACCACATAATTACAAAGCTATATTTGATTACATTTGGTATGAAAATGGCATAGTACTTATGTTTAAGACATCCAAGATGCATGCTGAGGTATACTGGATGAGATGACACAATATCCGAGATTTGCCATAAAATGCTCTAACCAAAAGGGGGGAGGGTGGTGGAAAGTAAGATTGACAAAATATTAATAATTGTTGGAGCTAAATGATAGATACCACGTTGGTTCATTATTGCATTTTCACTCTCCGGGTATATTTGAAAAAACTACATTAAGCCCAGAAGAAGAAATCATAAATCCCCAATCTTATAATCAGTAAGTGAGCCAAGTCCTGTTCTCTGTGCCTATTTCCATCCTCGGCTTCTTTATGCCAAAACTATATTCAGAACTGATAAGGCAAGTTACATAGAGGCAGCTTCAGATGTACATATTTTCACTGACTTCTCTCAGCTCAAAACCCAACAAAGTACCAATAAGTTCCAATAGTCTTTATGGTAATGAAGGTATGGTTTGAGTATAGTAGATCTTAAAGCAAAATTTGTCCTCTATTAAAACTGTTTACTAATTGATGAGCTCCTCCTACATGGTAAAAGTTTTTGACCATATTTAAGAGGAAGAAATATAAATTTTCTCAATCTACAGAATGCTTAAAAACAGCATCCAAAGTTATTCATACATATGAGGATCTCCAAAAAGTTAATCAGGGCAGGCGCTGTGGTGTAGCGGGTAAAGCCGCCACCTGTGGCACCAGCATCACATATGGATGCCAGTTTGAGTCCCAGCTGCTTCACTTCTGATCCAGCTCCCTGCTAATGTACCTGGGAAAGCAGCAGAGGATAGCCTGTGTTCTCGGGCCCCTGCACCCACGTGGGAGACCCACAAGAAGCTCCTGGCTCCTGGCTTCGGATTGGCCCAGCTCTGACCATTGCAGCCATTTGGGGAGTGAAGCAATGGATGGAAGATATGTCTCCCTCCCTCTGTCTGTCTCTGTAACTCTGCCATTCAAATAAATAAATCTTTAAAAAAAAGTTCATCAAAAATCTGTATTATGAAAAAAACCATACAAAGATTTCAAAAAGTTTACACCAAAATAAACATCTTTTTTAAAGGGAAAAAAATAAACATCTTTTTTAAAGGGAAAAAAAAAATTTAGAGTGACAGACAACGGAAGAGACCAAAAGAGAGAGATCTTCCATCTGCTGATTCACTCCCCAGATAGCTGCAACAGTGTTAGAACAAAGCCAGGAACCTGGAACTCCACCCAGGTCTCCCACATGGGTGGCAGGGGCCGAAATATTTGGGCCATCTTTGGCTGTTTTCCCAGGCATAGTAGCAGGAAATTGAATGGGAAGCACAGCAGCCAAGATTCAAAACCAGCACTCTTATAGGGGACACTAGAATTGCAGGCAGCAACTTACCCCCACAGCGTTAACTCCTAAACTTATCTTTTAATTCCATTTTCCATGAACTTTTTTAAGTACTCTCATAGTACAACAGTTCTTTTTTTTTTTTTTTTAAGATTTATTTATTGGGGCTGGCGCTGTGGCACAGTGGGTTAAAGCCCTGGCCTGAAGCGCAGGTCACGGTTCAAGCACTATGCTATGCTGAAGGCCATATTCCCTACAGACTTTTCAGTTACATCAGCCAGTATAAATTTTTTTTTTTTTTACTTAAGCTAATATGAAAGTTTCTATTCCTAACCAAAAAAGTTAGGGTAATACAATCTATAAGAAATCAAAGGAGATGTTCTGATACATCAATTAAATTTATCAATATATTTCTCAATAGCCACACCTACTTTGAGGAAGAAGTCACTTGACCCAGTGGCCAAGAGAAGGTACTGACTTTGGTTGGTGAAACAGCAGCAGTTGACTTGCTCTGAGTGCTCATCATAAGTACGTACTAGTTCCCCAGTCACAGAATTCCAAATCTAAAGAGAACAGAGAAAATCAGTTTACAAATATCCACTATTTTCAAAGGCAGAACCAAAGGACAAGGCAAGCTTGAGTCACTTTGCAGTTTCCATCTATCCTGCCAGGGCAGATTTTCCCAGGCAGACATGATGAGCACTTCTTCTCTAAAACATGGCTGTATTTTGCCTCAATGTTTTTTAAAAAAAAATCAAAAATTACCTGCAAGTTTACACATGTTTTTCAATAGCATAACTGGAATCTCATGAAAGCAAAACATTATTCAAAGGCAAGATTTCATATATTCCTATGAATGACGGCAGCAGAGAAGTGCTGTAAAGAAGGTGGCATACAGGACTGCAGATCAAAAGATTAAGCCCAAGACGTGACTCTATCACTTAATGATTTGTGTGTTCTTAACTTACCTGCACCTCAGCTCTCTCCTCTGTGAAATGGGGATATTTTTAACTCTCCTACACAATTCCAGGTATCAAATGAGATAATAAACCTAAGTATATTGTAGACTTCAAGGTTCCATATACATAAGTAAAGGCAGATTGCTCAGTTAAAAAAAAAAAAAAAAAAAGTGGGGGAGAGGCTTGTGAGTTTGAGAGAAACCTAGCTTTCAACCCTGATATAATTTTTTTAAAAATTTATTTATTTGAGAGTCAGAGTTAAACAGAGAGAGATGGAGAGATGGAGAGATGGAGAGAGAGAGAGAGAGAGAGAGAGAGAGAGAGAAAGTAAGTCTTCTATCCACTGGTTTATTCTCCAATTGCCGCAATGGCCAGAGCTGCGCCGATCTGAATCCAGGAGCCAGGATTCTTCTGGATCTCCCACACGGGTGCAGGGATCCAAGGACTCAGACTGTTTTCCACTGTTTTCTCAGGCCATAACAGAGAGCTGGATCGGAACTGGGGCAGCCGGGACTCAAACTGGCATCCATATGGGATGCTAGCACTGCAGGTGGCAGCTTTACCCACTATGCCACAGTGCTGGCTCCTGATACTATTTTTTAAAGATTGATTTATGGGGCCAGCACTGTGGTGTAGCAAGTAAAGTCTTTGCCTGCAATGCCAGCATCCCATATGGGTGCTGGTTTGAGTCCCACTGCTCCACTTCTGATCCAGCTCTCTGCTATGGCCTGGGAAGGCAGTGCAAGATGGCCCAGGTCCTTGGGCCCCTGCACTCACATGGAAGACCTGGAAGAAGCTCCTGGTTCATGGCTTTGGATTGGCTCAGCTTCAGCTGTTGCGATCACTTGAGGAGTGAACTAGCGAATGGAAGACCTCTCTCTCTCCCTACCTCTGCCTCTCCCACTAACTCTGACATTCAAATGAACAGATAAATCTTAAAAAAAAAAAGAAAAAGCCGGCGCCGCGGCTCACTAGGCTAATCCTCCGCCTAGCGGCGCCGGCACACCGGGTTCTAGTCCCGGTCGGGGCGCCGGATTCTGTCCCGCTTGCCCCTCTTCCAGGCCAGCCCTCTGCTGTGGCCAGGGAGTGCAGTGGAGGATGGCCCAGGTGCTTGGGCCCTGCACCCCATGGGAGACCAGGAAAAGCACCTGGCTCCTGGCTCCTGCCATCGGATCAGCGTGGTGCGCCGGCCGCAGCGCGCTGGCCGCGGCGGCCATTGGAGGGTGAACCAACGGCAAAGGAAGACCTTTCTCTCTGTCTCTGTCTCTCTCACTGTCCACTCTGCCTGTCAAAAAAAATAAAAATAAAAATAAAAAAAAAAAGAAAAAGAACTTGTTGAAATGAAATGGACACTATGAGAAACAGTGACTTGATCAGCTCTTGTCCTGACGGTTGATGTACAATGTAATACTTTATCCATTTTAGTATTTTTTTTTGTTCTAGTACCATTGGTTGAACTCTGTAATTAACACACAATTATTCTTAGGTGTTTAAATTTTAACTGAAAAGTGATCCCTGTTAGGAATTTGGAAAACATTATGCTGAGTGAAATAAGCCAATCCCAAAGGGACAAATACCACTTGTTCTCCTTGATAGGTGACAACTAACCGAGCACCAAAAAGGAAACCTGTTAAAGTAAAATGAACACTATGAGAAACGGTGACTTGATCAGCCCTCACCCTGACTGTTGATGAGCAGCTTAATATGTTATCCCTCTTAGTATTTTTTTTGTTTGTTCTACTTAATACTTTTGGTTGAATACTGTAATCAATACACAATTCTTCTTAAGTGCTGAAACTTAACTGAAAAGTGATCGCTGTTAAATATAAGAGTGGGAATAAGAGAGGGAAGAGATGTGCAATTCGGGACATGCTCAAGCTGACTCACCTCAAACGGTAGAGTTAGAAACATACCAGGGGATTCCAATTCAATCCCATCGAGGTGGCATGTACCAATGCCATCTCACTAGTCCCAGTGATCAATTTCTGTTCACAATTGATCATAATGATAGGACTAAGAACCAAAGGGATCACATAAACAAGAATAGTGTCTGCAAATACTAGCTGATAGAATAAAAAAGGGAGAGAATGATCCAACATGGGAAGCGAGATACACAGCAGACCCATAGAATGGCGAATGTCCTAACAGCACTCTGGCCTCAGAATCAGCCCTTAAGGCATGCGGATCCGGCTGAAAAGCCCATGAGAGTATTTCAGGCATGGAAAGCCAAAACACTCTGAAAAAAAAAAAAAAAAAAAAAAACCTA